CAATGGTCTGCTGCCTGTTTAGTTTGTTTTCTTGTCTGGAGAACCAGAAAGCCAGAAGAGTGTGGCCATTCCTGCAATAAAAATAAATAAAACCCAACTTAAACACAATACTGTATAGAGGGGGCAGAGTTTTATTTTTTTGCTCCTCTACTAATCTTTACACGCAGCAAACTAACAGTTGAAAAGGGGGGGCTAAGCAAATTTCATCCAATCCATCAAACTGACATTATCAGAGGAAGGAATACCATTTCAGAGTGAAAAAAATTGGTCAGAGTGAGTCAAGATTACTAAAAAAAAATGTGTATTTTTTTAAGGTGGAGTGGATTAATATGCACAAATTAATTGTTTATCGTAAAGTGATAGTTCACACAAAAATGAACATTTCTGTACAATTTACTTCCCCTTAATTTTAAAATAAACACTAAATTTGATTACATGCGGATTTAACTTTTTTTTTCTTTTTTTTTTACATATCTGTACTCTTCAGAATCCAGCTTAGCCTGATCACACCAATGTTATTATACGCTTCAGGAACCAACCTAGCCTGATCACACCGATGTTATTATACGCTTCAGGAACCAACCTAGCCTGATCACACCGATGTTATTATACACTTCAGGAACCAGCCTAGCCTGATCACACCGATGTTATTATACACTTCAGGAACCAACCTAGCCTGATCACACCGATGTTATTATACACTTCAGGAACCAACCTAGCCTGATCACACCGATGTTATTATATACACTTCAGGAACCAGCCTAGCCTGATCACACCAATGTTATTATACGCTTCAGGAACCAACCTAGCCTGATCACACCGATGTTATTATACACTTCAGGAACCAACCTAGCCTGATCACACCGATGTTATTATACGCTTCAGGAACCAACCTAGCCTGATCACACCGATGTTATTATATACACTTCAGGAACCAACCTAGCCTGATCACATCGATGTTATTGTATGCTTCAGGAACCAGCCTAGCCTGATCACATCGATGTTATTATACGCTTTAGGAACCAACCTAGCCTGATCACACCGATGTTATTATACGCTTTAGGAACCAACCTAGACTGATCACACCAATGTTATTATACTCTTCAGGAACCAACCTAGCCTGATCACATCGATGTTATTGTATGCTTCAGGAACCAGCCTAGCCTGATCACATCGATGTTATTATACGCTTTAGGAACCAACCTAGACTGATCACACCAATGTTATTATACTCTTTAGGATCCAGCCTAGCCTGATCACACCGATGTTATTATACTCTTCAGGGACCAGCCTAGACTGATCGCACCGATGTTATTATACTCTTCAGGGACCAGCCTAGACTGATCGCACCGATGTTATTGTACTCTTCAGGGACCAGCCTAGACTGATCACACCGATGTTATTATACTCTTCAGGGACCAGCCTAGACTGATCACACCGATGTTATTATACTCTTCAGGGACCAGCCTAGACTGATCACACCGATGTTATTATACTCTTCAGGGACCAGCCTAGACTGATCGCACCGATGTTATTGTACTCTTCAGGAACCAGCCTAGCCTGATCACACCAATGTTATTGCACACTTTAGGAACCAACCTAGACTGATCACAGATTGTATGCGTGAAAGTGTTAAACCTCAAATGTGCCATTATAACTTAACGTTGTCAAACCTGGGATCGCAAAGGAACTTGGTCTTCTCTCCTTCCTCTCTCCATATGAGCCACTCTCTGAAAGAAGGATGAACGAACATGCGCGTGCCGTCCCGCCTCTTCACCAAGAACACAGACAGGTTCTCCATCCTCTGCTGGAAGTCGTCCCAGTCCAGAGTCCCCTTGACGGAGCCACCATTGATGGCCTGGTAGATCTGTTCGTCGGTGAGCGGGTGCAATGAAGCCAGGCCCACATTAAGCAGTGGCAGAGCCCTCTCGAAAGACGACTGCGTGGGGAACCTCATGTTACACTGCAGCAGGTAGACCTCCGCCAAACTGACCGGGACCACCTTGTAGTTGGAGCTCTTGAGCACCAGGTATCCGCGCTCAATCAGGTCGAAGGTGAGCTTCAGGTAGAGGAAGGAGCCCTGACTGAGGGCCTTGAGGTGGGAGCTGAGCTTGCCGAAGCTGCTGTTGTCCATCTTGCCATTCAGCGAGATGTTGTTCTGGATCTCAGCACTGCTATGGATGCGGTGGAGGATGTAGCCTTGCAGGTCGTGATCGATGGCGTCGTTTTCCTCCAGAGCGTCCAAAGAGATTTGGTGGAACGGCAGAGGTTTGGTGATTTCCTGAAAAGAAGAGGTGAGAGATAAGAAACGTCAACAAGGCAGGCTCATTGGTGTGTTTAGAATAAGATTTTGCACAATTGAGCATATGCGTGGAATGTTTTTATCCCTCTGGTGTCCCTTATTTGGGAATCACACTGGTGGTCTTAGTTGGTCAAAAAGGGACGAATTCCTGTAAAGAACTTTCTGTTTTGTCTTAAGCTAAATCAATTACATTTATTTTTGTTTAATTACATTTTTTCTATATTATTTTTTAATTTTCAGAAGGTTTTGTGGTAATTATTAATACTTATATAGTAATTAACATCCATTTTTGGTCTAAAATGACTGAAAACAACCAGAGGTTTAAAGGAACACTGCACTTTTTTTTGGAAATAGGTCCCCTAAAGTTTTTCAATCCATTCAGACATTCTTCGGGTTTTGCAGGAGCACATTTAGCTTAGCTTAGCATAGATCATGGAATCCGATTAGACCATTAGCATTTCTAAAATGACCAAACAGTTTAGATCATTTTACTATTTATCGCTTGACTTATCTGAAGTTGCATCATGTAGCAAGGACCAAGAAAAATTAAGAGTTGCTATTTTCAAGGCAATATCCTGTAGTTATTAAGCGAACACTCATTCTGGCGTGATAATCAAGGAACTTTGCTGCTGTACCTTGGCTGCAGCAGGCACAATAATATTACACAAGACCTGAAAATAGTCCCTGGCACCAAGCCCTACCCTTGCACTACCTGTTAGAATCTGTGTAATATCACTGTGCCTGCGGCAACCAAGGTAAAGGAGCAAAGTTTACTCATTATTATGCCAAAATGAGAGTGTAGTTCCTCGCCATTTCAGCCTAAAAACCTACAGAAGAGTCAAGCTTTAAATATTTTGATAATAGTTATCAAAACTCTTTGGCCATCTTTGAGCAAGATGCTAATGGTCTAATCTGATTAAATGACCTATGCTAAGCTAAGCTAAAATTGATCTGGTCAAACCAGGGCCCGGTTTTTCAAAAGTAATCCACTAGGATTTTGGATAAGGGATTGGATCAAATCTTGAAAATGGGTTTTTCAAAAGAAAAAACGGATTACCTAATCGGATTAGATCACGTAATCTAATCTTGGTTTTGATCCGGATCAAACCTTTACTTTGGGTTTTTCAGACCTTTTTTATAGGATTTGGATCAGTTTGATCTAAAAAACCTGGATTAAACTGATCCCATCAGAAGGGTGGATTTAGTGTGGATTTCATGCCCAAAATGTAATGAAAGCTTAAAAAATGTATTAAATAATACTATTTTTGGATCATGCAGTATCTTACGAGATATACTATTTATTCATAAGGTTTTAATTTTATTTGTTCATCTGTAAGGCTATAGTGATTATTGGCTTTAACGTATTCAGCCTTACAGTATAGGCCTACAGCAAAGTAAAAATAGCTTGGCCTCATAAAATAATCCCCCAAACAGCTGTCAAAATTGACCAAAAACAATCCATTTTATTCTGTCAATATATATATATATATTCATCACAATGAAAAAAATTGTTTTTTAGAATATTTATTAGTGATGCATGCAATGATTACAGAATAACCAAAAAAATGCAAAGAATGGCAATGACTGATTTGTGAAATCACCTTCAACAATTGCAAAAAGAGACTGGGCAGAAGCACAGCTTCATCTGGCAGAGGAACAACTGACTCTGACCAAACTGCAGCAAACCAAGGCCAGACTTGAGATTCGCCTCCTAAAGGCTTTGCTCAGACAAGCTGCTCTCTCCACATCAGATGAGGAAGTCTGAACTTAATGTGGAGTTTTTGACATTAAGTCTTTTTTTTTATTATTTACATCTATATTTATAACTTAATATAAATACCTCAATGTACAGTGTTTGTGTTGTAGGTCTCAGATGAGCGGACTGCTGGAAGAGGATGGGGTGGGGTTTTTATTGTTTTTATTTTTTTATTTTTTATTTTATTCATTTATTTAATGTGTGTGTTTTCATTTCAAATAAACATAAAGTTATATTGACCCCATACTGGCTATTCTACTTGTTGCTCTTTACATAGGCCTATCTATCCATCTACATTGTGATTGAGCACTGGTAATCCAGATTTAGTGATCCTTAAAAGTTCCTACCAGGATCAGATTGAGCCAATCCAATGTTGCTTTGAAAAACTGGCTCAAAAGGTAAGCTGGAGAAAGTAATTTTATCCAGATTAAACCTTTTGAAAAACCGGGCCCTGGAGATTGGCTGAATGGATTAAAAAAAATGATACCACTACTCACTCTAGGCGAGTAATTTTAATACTTGATCAAAGGTGACAGTAAATATGTTTATAATGCTACAAAGTTCGAAATAGTACAATAGTTTCAACGAAATAGTACAAATTTAAATGTTCAATTTTAAATATTCTATCCGAAGCCCACAGCACATATGAAACTGCATGCTATGTGCACTATATTATAGACATATAAATGTGCATTGATTCTGGAAGGCAAACAGAAGGCTGGAAAGATTCTTTTATTAGTATATACCAGGGGTCACCAACCTTTTTGAAACTGAGAGCTACTTCTTGGGTACCAATTATTGTGAAGGGCTCCCAGTTTACTTTTAATTATATGTTGTTATTATTAATGATTAATGATATTCATCTATGTGAAGAGACATTGATCATGTTAATGATTTCTCACAACAGCTCTCAAAAATGATATAACAAGGAAAGAAACAGAAATATCAATGTGCAACTTATTTGTCTGAAATAGTTTTAGTTTTTTTTATGTATACACATTAACGTCATTAACAAATTTTACACCAATGCGGGTATGATTTCAAAAAAATAGCTTCAAAAAATACTACATTCAGCTTACTGGAATGTGGTGCAATGGTGAGCTATTTTTAGAACAGGCCTGTGGGCAACTCATGTCATCCTCGTGGGCTACCTGGTGCACCATGTTGGTGACCCCTGGTATATACTGTACATATTCATTCATTCATTCATTCGGCTTAGTCCCTTATTTATCAGGGGTCGCCACAGCAAAATGAACCGGCAACTATTCCAGCATATGTTTTACACTGTGGATGCTCTTCCAGCAGCAACCCATTATTTATCAGGGGTCGCCACAGCAGAATGAACCGGCAACTATTCCAGCATATGTTTTACACTGTGGATGCTCTTCCAGCAGCAACCCATTATTTATCAGGGGTCGCCACAGCAGAATGAACCGGCAACTATTCCAGCATATGTTTTACACTGTGGATGCTCTTCCAGCAGCAACCCATTACTGGGAAACACTCATACACACTCACATTCACACACATACACTACAGCCAATTTAGTTTACCCAATTCCCCTATAGCGCATGGGGGAGCACCCGGAGGAAACCGATGCCAACACGGGGAGAACATGCCAACTCCACACAGAAATGTCACCTGGTCCAGCTGAGACTCGAACCAGTGACCTTCTTTCTGTGAGGCGACAGTGCTAACCACTGAGCCACCGTGCTGCCCCTACTGTATATATATATATATATATATATAATATAATACAAATGCTATGTGTTAGTGTGTTTACCTGCAGAGTTGTTCTGACTGTCACCACCAGTTTGAGCCAGGCTGGAAACTTGTTGATGGTTTTACAGAGGAAAGACACAATGGTGTCGCCATAGTCTGGTTTGTGGAACTCGGCCTCATTCAGACCGTCAATGAGAATGATGAGATCTTCTTCTGGAGTGATCTTCCTCTCTGAAGATAAAAAACAACACACAATCCTTTAATGATACACCAAAGGCCTGTTCACACCAATGACAACTACTAAGATATGGTTCTAAAATGAAGAATAGCAGAGGCCACAGTGATAATAGTGACAGGGGAATCTCTTAATGCACTGAAGGCAGCAGATGACAAAAACAGCAGCATTAAGCAGAACATTATCATGTGCACACGTAATATAATATTTTCTGGAATGTAAGTCATGTTTCATTATTGTGTTACTTTATCATCTGAAATATGCAGTAGCACTTGTGATGCTGGACTGCAAAACCAGTCTCATGATGCAATGTGTATTTTTCTGGGAATAGCTAAAAATATTATTGATTTTTACTTTTTGGCAAAAATCTGAGAATATTTTGTATAGATCACCTTTTGCAAAGATCACTGTAAAGATATTTAGCAAATTTAAATTCCTATATATACAGCTGAAGTCAGAATTATTAGCCCCCCTGAATTATTAGACCGCTTGTTTATTCCCCCCCCCCCCCCAATTTCTGTTTAACAGAAAGAAGAACTTTTCAACACATTTATAAACATAATAGTTTTAATAACTCATTTCTAATAACTGATTTATTTTATCTTTGTCATGATGACAGTAAATAATATTTTACGACATATTTTTCAAGACACTTCTATACAGCTTAAAGTGACATTTAAAGGCAAACTAGGCTAATTAGGTTAACTAGGCAGGTTAGCGTAATTATGCAAGTTATTGTATAACGATGGTTTGTTTGTAGATTATGGAAAAAAATATATAGCTTAAAGGGGCTAATAATTTTGTCCTTAAAATTCAAAACTGCTTTTATTCTAGCCGAAATAAAACAAACAAGACTTTTTCCAGAAGAAAAAATATTATCAGACATACTGTAAAAATGTCCTTGCTCTGTTAAACATCATTTGGAAAATATTTAAAGAAGAAGAAAAAAATTTGAAGGGGGCTAATAATTCTGACTTCAACTGTATATATCAACTGTATAAATATATATATATATGTGTGTAAGTATATATATATATATATATATATATATATATATATATATATATATATATATATATATATATATATATATATATATATATATATATATATATATATATATATATATATATATATATATATATATATATATATATATATATA